CAGCCAAAACTTCCCAACTTGGAGAAATAATTTTTATAAAAGAATTAAACAAAAATTTAGGGAAGGGTCTACAGGGTGTTCAGGGTCTCACTACTAGATCGGACGCATAGTGATCCACCTTTTTACAGGCTCCCAAGAGCTGGGATTACAGGTGTGCACCACCACACCGTCTCAATTGCTGTCTCAGCATGCCCGAGGGGCAGGGCCAGCACAGCAGGCCCCGGAGATGGAACTCCTGACCCCTGTGCCTGCTTTTTAATCTGCTGAGCTATTTGGCTGCCCTTTAAAAGAATGTTTTGATCATGACATTTGTTGGCTCAGAAACATTGACTACTATCTGTTATGTTCAATGTAATAGCCAAGGTTTTTTTTTTTCCCCAAGGTTTTTATAATAGCCCTAACCTACAGTTACTATAGTAGATGGCTGTAGGGTCATTTATAAACCTGACTCTGTGATGAAATGATTCTGTCATGATACTTTCACTGTTCGCAAATTTCCTACCTGCCTTATGTTTCTCCTTTCTGGCTTTGCCAGTATCACTGTATTTCTGGAATACAGTCGGTTGTCTTCCTGTATTAACATTTGGAGTTTTCTGAGAAATTCCAGATCACATGAAACTGAAGTGCCATTTCTTCTTTCTGAATATTCAGATCAATTACTAAGTATGGGGCTTATTTTATAAATAATCACCGCCTCCTTGGTGCATTCTTCTGTTACTTGTGTCTTTTGTTGTGTTTGCTCCTGGACAAAGCTAGAAGAGATATACCCAGAAATTACTGAGTAGAGGTAGCACTGTGGCTTTTCTGTCTTTTAATATACTCTTATTTTTATTAAAATTTAAAGTTCTTATTATACATTTATTATTTCTCAAGCATAAATCTAGTACATCTAATTGGGTTTTGTATTTTAGTCTTGTAGCAGAGACTTCTGTGGTTATTTGTATATAGTACAAAGCTTTACTATTAACAAATACACACAGAAAGAACGGATAGGGTGGTTATATCTTGTATTTGAAACAGAAGCAGTTTTGTCGTTCCACTATATTCTCGTATATCCACTTTACATAGATCTTATCATTTACTTGGTACTTGTGCTTTTGTATATACTGCTTCATCAATGCTAGATATTTGTGGATTTCTGATACCTTATTTGTACTTATATTTTCTTCCAAGTTTCTACACTAAAATTTTTGACTTATGATAAATTAAAAGATTATACATAGGTATATTTTATAATGTTACTGAGATAACCAATTAAGGACCTGTATCTAAGAATTATGTCCAAGGACTCAAATTCACTTGAAAGTCTTCAGATATTTTCTCATAACACATTTTTATTTTATTTTATTTATTTTTTTATGAGCAGAATATATTTATTGAAGGAAAGAAAGCTCCTGTGTGAGAGAGGGACAGGAGGGGGGCCCACAGCGGGTTGTTCCCACATAACACATTTTTAAATAAGTACTTTGAGATATTTTTAGTCCAATTATCATAACATGGAATTACAATAAAGGTTGTTTCCTTTTTTTTTTTAAATTGTACTTATTTTTTATTTTATTTTATTTTTTTTGTGGCCGGCTCAGCCCATGCTGGGAGCGGGGCTGGTGTGGCATGTAGTGCCAGGGATCGAACCATGGTCCCTAGGCTTGCCTAAGCTTGCCTAAGTAGGTGCTTTAGACCACTGAGCTATCCTGCTGGCTCCAATAAAGGTTATTTTCTAATTAGACTTTTTATTATGTTGTGTGTAAAATAACTTTAAGTATCTAAATATATCATTAACAATAGTATGTATGAATTTTATGGGGCTAGCTCCCATAAGATGATTATTCTTTGGATACAAAGTAATAGTATTTTAGTGTTTACTTCATAATATTTGAGATATTAAAATAGTATTTATTCTAAACTATCCATGCACTATCTTCTATGTCAGAAGGATTTTTTTTTTCTCCCAATGCCTTCAGGGCAGGTTTGGCTGGCTTGAGTTGTGGGGATGGAACCACAGCAACCTGGGCCTGACTGCTTTGTTGAAGCAGCCACTTAAGGAACTGAGCTAAGGGGCAGATCCCCAACTATCTTTTATGTAATTGCTCCTAGAATGTATTATTTTGTAGCTGAAAACCTATTAGTAGAAATTTTCTTTATCTGGTGTTGCTAACAAGCTTCGGAGAGGAACTTTGTATCTCAAGGAATCTTGGATGTAAAACAAACTTAAGGCTAGAGGTACAGCTCAGTGATAGAATGCTTGCCTAGCTCATGCAAGGTCCTAGGCTTAATCTCTGGGCTCTGCATCCCCCAACACACAGAGGAACCTGAGGAAGAGTCCAGTTCCCTACCTCTGCTCTAAACACTATGCAGCTAAGAAACTGATGTCCATTTAGACCAAACTCTGTCTAAGGCAGTACACAGAATCATCAATATACTTTCTCTGTCTCTTGCTTTATATTCAGCTTCTTTTCTCTTATGCGATTTTAAGGAGACCTACATTCAACTTTAATAGAGTCTCAGTAAATTTGTCCAAAATTAACACCTACAATATTGTTATAGTTTTTTCTTTCTTGTTATAGCATCTGTTACAGTTTTAAAGTTGCTACAGAGTTTTACTCAAAATATATTTCTTTAAAGAAAATCCTAAAGCATAAATATAGTGCTAAGAAGAGATGACCATAAGCTGTAAGGGAGGCAGAATCACATTTATAAAGCAAGTGTGCCTGAGAGGAAAGCTGAAGGACTCTGGAAGGTGATGGAGTGGAAGGAAAGTGTGGGGAGAGATTTGCAGCCTTGGGAAAGTGGTTTCTGTGGTGTATCATGGGCAGCAAGAAGTTGGTTGGGGTGTCTCAGATCCAGGCCACGATGGAAGTGTCACATCTTTTACCCCTTCTATGCCTGAAAACTGGAGATGTAGGTTATTCAGAGGAATGGTGGACGATAGACAGATTTCATTTTGATGAAGGGAATTAGAGTGTTGACTAAAACTGGAAAACTAGCAACTAAAGGAAGAAGCTGAAATTAGTAAACTAGAAATTGTGAGAGTAAAAGATGCTCACACAATGTCCCTAGCAATCAAATGTAGCAAGACATTTTACTACCTGTCCCTGCCCAGCCTCACCCTTCATGGATTTGGGCCTTCTCTATAGCTCAGGGGCCAAAGGGGAAGCTGTTTAGGTGGAAGGATCTAGCCAAGAGATCTTTATAGCCAGCACAAGGCAGAGGTGGGCTTCCTACAGGACCCCAAGACTCCATCATAAGGAGGGGTGGCCTGGTCATTTCTGCAATGAGTCACTTACCCAGGTCTGGAGATCTTGACAAGAGCAGCCTGCAGGGAGGGCAGGATTGCCCTCACGTCCATGAAGAGCCACACACTACATTCAAGTGAGGCTGGTGAGGTTGAGGAACTTAAATATATCAGAGGAGTTTGTAAAAGATGGCTACTTTGAAGCGCTATCCCAAATGTGGTATTAATTTCTGCCTTACTACTGAACCATAACTTTCCATCACTTTAAGTAGCTGATATCTTTAATTTACCTCTTCTTTATTTTAGACTATACCATTGTTCCCCAAAACAGTGACTATAAACTCTTAAGCAAGTGGACAGAGGACTGAGTATTATTAGTCTTCCTATCATAACCAAAATGAGTTTAATTTTTTATTCTTTTACGTCATTAGAGGACTCCAGGGATCTCTTAGAAGAAAGCCTTCATCCTTTGAAGGACAGAATAACACAGAGCTTAAATGTGTAGGCTCTGAGGTTGAATTGTTATAGTCTTAGTTGGTCTTTATTCCAGTGTTGTAAGAAGTAAAATCTTCTTCTGTGGTAAGAAGAAGAGCTGTGGTAAGAAGTAAAATCACTAATATCCCACAGAGCTGTGGTAAGAAGTAAAATCACTAATATCCGTGAAAAGTAAGAAGTAAAATCACTAATATCCGTGAAACACATGGAATACAGTTTCTACTTGATAAACCTTAACTTAATTTTCTTTTTTTTAAAAATAATTTTATTGAGAAACAAATAGAAATGAGACAGTTTCAAAACCAATTGGTAGGACAGTTTCAATAATTAATACATTGCATATTGTCTTCTTAGTGGTTATTCATAGTACAAGATACAGACATGATATCCTGTCCACAAACACTATTAGTATAAATCTTTCTATTCATTGAATTAAGAGAAAGTAGCTGTTTATCTATCCTAACTATTTTGAATACAGAGATACAAAATGGTTCTTCATTTGTATCCCCTTTTTTATTTAGTTTTGTCAGAGATGGATATTCCATTGTCATTTAAATATTCTAGGTGCATGAATTCAGCAAAATGTTCCAACATAGTAGTCCATAATAGTAGTGGTTTTTCGTAGGATTGGCAATGTCAGAAGTTGTTGACTTGAGCCTTTTACAGCTCAACATATTAATATGGCTTTACTTTTTATACTTTGTTTTTATACTTTTCTGCTGGGTACTTAAGACCAAGATAAAGCAAGACCTATATAACAAGAAATGTAACTTTTATATCTGAAAAGGTCAGTCAAATCCCCTCAGGATTTATTCTGAAACCCTGTACTGCAGTTTGTAGGTCCTTTGTCAGTGTCAGCCATGTGGATGAGTCATGGCCATTGCTTGGCCAGTGTGCTCTCTATGAAAGCCTGAGAGAATGTTTTCTCTCCATGTGACTCTCCTTAGGCACACTCTACGTCATTTCATTTCAACTATTCTGTGTGCCCACCAGGTGGTACAACAACTCTTACTGTTATTAATGCAGCAATGCCCCCTTTTCCAGGTGGGGTTCTTAACATTCTGGTTTGTCATTGTTAATTGCTACTAGAAGTCCCACTGAGTTGGTTCTGCTTCTGGAATTAAACTGACATTTTTTTTTTTTCAATAGCTGTGCCTAGTTGTTGCTTTTAAATATATATATATATATATATATATATATATATTAGTATCTGTTACTTGTTTGGAATATTGTTAAGAGTTTCTTCAGCGCTGTTTTCCTTTGGTTTTCCCAGTGCTCAGCAGCGGAGCAGTCAGGTTCACAAGAAAACCACGATTGGAAATCAGGTAGGAACTGTAAAAGAGATTCTGTGCATGCCTGCCTTAAAGAATATCAACTAAATCGCTTGATTGACTCTTTTTTTTAAAGTGCAAATTAATCATGTGCAAATTTTGCTTAAAATGCAGCTTTTCATTTTCATTTTTGCTTTTACAGTTTTTTGAGTGAATTTCATTGCTTTTTGGCTATTTTATGCAGTTCAACATATTGATTTATTTTAAATAACTTCTCTGCTACTCGCTCTGCGTTTCAAATATGACTCCCTGCATCCTCATTTGCGTGCATTCCTGACCCCTACACTTACCATTGACTCTAAGAGTCAGCTCAAGGTTAAAATATGCTGAGTAGTTGCATGAGCTTTCTGGTGCTGCCGACTAGTTCACACATTTGCACAGCTTGGTAACAGTGAAGGGACAGCTCATGAAGGAGGCATTTGGTGGATGTCACCTCTGCCGTGCTAAATTCCTGTTGGTAAATGAAGATGTTCATTCTTATGAAGATCTGATCTTTTGAGTTTTTGTGTTTTGGGGCTGACCAGCTGTCTCTGACTAATAGCGCTCTGCAGAGATTGTATTAACTCTGGCAATTTGCTGTTTCTTTTATGTTTTATGTGATAATAAGTATTTGCATTGTTATTTCTTTTCAAGTCAAAACAATGATGATTTTTTAAAGTTTTTTTTTTCAATTCAGAGGTACAATTATTGAACAAATTGAAACCTCTGCTCTAGAGTTTTTGCCATTGTTTTGAAAGGAGAAGAGGTAATAACAGACTTTATTTTAAAAACTTTTTTTTTTCTGAACTAAAGCATATAATTCTTTGCTATTTCAGGGAACCAATCTTCCGCCTTCAAGGCAAATTGTACGAGCTAAGTTCTGTAAGCTTTACTGTTGCTTTTTCATTTAGCTTCCCAAGGGAGCAGTTTGTCTTTAACTGATTAACTCGACTAGTGCTTGCTACTAATTTTTTTTTAAAAATGTAGGTTGTCTTGTTCGTAACACCTTATCACTGAAATAAAAATCCTCTTCAGAGGGTTCATCCCTTCACTGCTAATAACTTGCTGTGATTGAAAGGTATGAACTAGTAAACTCTAAAATGCTATAATAATAAACCTTTAACACTGTGGGTGCTTCAACATTTCTCTAATTTTAATGGGCCTTAAAATAATTAAAATCATTAATAACCTTCATCTCTGTCCTTTTATGCTTTGTGGTTCTGAGGTATAAGCCCTTCTCTTTCTTTCATTGATAATATTTTCAGTATATGTAGATGATGCTTCTAAAAGGTGGGTAAATATCAAATATCTTTTTTAGCTACATTTGCTGATAAGTCTTCCCAATTTTAATTATTTGTATTTACTTTTTTAAAATAATAAAAAAAACAAAATTACATACTGATGTTTTAGATGACTATAGTTAACTCTCTTAAAGCTATATAATGTATCTTTTTATAGTGTAACAAAGATGTGATCAAATGTTTAAAATGGGACTTTAGAAAAAATTATGTTCTCATTTCCACCATGGGTCAAGCAAGATCTTCCAACAGTGAATTCTTTTGGAAGGGGATTAGAACATGGGCCAATTATTGGCTCTCTGATATTTTAGAAGACACAAGCTCTGGACCTACACACTCCTGGGTTCAAATTATATTCTGCCACTTAGGAATCATGTGGATTTGGGAAAATAGAGCCTGAAGTTGCTCAATTATGTGATGGGAAGAATAAGAAACTAATAATCAAACATCATGTACAAATGACTTTTATAGCCAGTAACAGATACATCCTCTATAAAGAGCAGAAGTCTTGTTCCTAGAAATATTTCTTGAAACCTTCGAGAGAAAAACAGTTAAGTATAAGAAAATTATTAAGTTGTAAAAAGAGAGCCATAAAATACTTGGAAAGCTTAGAAGCTATGATAAATTATCCTGATGCCACCACTACCTGGACTGTGGCTGAGTGTGCTGCAAAAAATTCATATTAAAATTTTCCTCATAGTCAGAAGCATCTCTAGTCCAAGAAGTAAAAACATATGGAAAAAGCAATAATGTAATGGTGTAAATGTATACTTTAAATAATATCTGAAAGGAAACTTGGAGCATTTTTCCATGATGTAAGTTCCAAATGCTAAAATCATATTAATCATGTTGCTTTGACTTTGCTAAATTCTTCAAGGCCTGCATAGTATAGAAGTTTTATAACCCAAGATAATATAGTTGGATGAATGTTATAATAGAATACAGAAAAAAGTGTGATATGAAGTCCATGTGTAAAGTGCCAGATATGCCTTGAAGGTTGGAATTATGTGGCCTTTAGAAAAAACTACATTTACTGTGTCATATGTTACTCAACATTCCTGTAGGGCAGAGGAATCACCCTGTAATTGAACACATTTTATTTCTATAGTGAAACAAATGAATAACCACACTGAATGAACTAAATAAAGGATATAAATCTTCTTACATCAGTTCAGGTTTTGCTGCCAAATTTATTAAAAAAACAAGCTTTGAGTTTGAGACTAAGATATTATGATTTTTTTCTTCTCTAGTCCTGTTTCCAAGTATTAATATAAAGTCAATTAAGTTTATTGGTGTAGTTTAGATCTATACTATGATCGCATTTATCGTAGGGAATTTGTACCTGTACAGCATATATCTTGATTTGTCTTTCTTTCCACTCCCTTTCTCTCCCTTCCAGCCCTTTCCCTCTTCTCATTTACAAAGCGTTATTTCCATTTTATCCTTCTTTTCTCATTTTTTCCTTTTCCTTTCCTACCTTTCCTCATCTTCCCTCCCTAGTTTCCCTTCCCTTTTGAACAATTTCTTCCTATTTCATGATATCTGTTGCACAATTTGGTTCTTATTTATACTTTCAGTATCTTACACCAGAGAGATAATGTGATATTTACATATGTATGTTTATTTCATTTAAGAGTGTGGTCTCAATGTCCATCCATTTAGCTATAAATATCTGAAGTTCATCCTTCTTTTTAATTTTTTTTTAATGTATTTAGTACAGGGTCTTGCTACATAGCTTGGGCTAGTAGTGATTCTCCTGTTTTAGCTTCCCCAGCACTGGAATTATAGGCATGCACAACCATGGTCCATCTTGGTGGTCATCTCAGTGGGCCTGGGGTGGGGCTGGCATGGTTTGCAATTCTGGGATCGAACCTGGGATTTTGAGCTTGCCTAGGCAGGTGTTTAGATCACTGAGCTATCTCCACAGCACCAAGTTTATCCTTCTTTATGGCCAAATAGTACCTGTTATATAAAAAAAGCCACATCTTTTTAATCCATTCATTAGTTGGTGGGGATTTGGATTGTTTCTCAGATTTAGCTATTACAAACTGTGCTACCCTAAATATGGGTGCACATATGTTACTGTAGTATGATGCTTTTAATTCTTTTGGGAAAATGCCAAGAAGGGGAATAACCAGATAAAATGGGGCCTCTAGTTCAAGTTTATTGAGGAATCTCCACACTGATTTCCACAGTGATTGATACAATCCAAACTACAATGGAGAAGTGTTCCCTTTTCCCCACAGCCTTGCCAGCATTTGTTATTGGTTGAGTTTTGATAAGAACAATTCTTTTTGAAGTGATACGGAACTTCAGTGTTCTTTTAATTGGCATATCTCAAATTAAAAGGGTCACTCAAATGATCAGTGATTTTGAAGATTTCTTCATAGATTTATTTGCCATTTGTACTTCTTCATCTGAGAAGTGTGTCTTCATCTCAGATGCCCAGTTTTGGATTAGGTTTTTGAATTTAGGGTATCTGATTTTTTTTTCCAGTTCTTTATGTGTTTTAGATATTAAGCCTTTGAGGAGCAGCTAGCTAAAATTTTTTCTCACTCTGTGGCTTGTCTTTTCACTCTGCTTGTGATTTCTTTTGTCATGCAAAAGTTTTTCTTAAGATGAGATCCCTGTTGTTGACTCTTTGTAGTATTTCCCACGTGATCTGAGTTTTGTTCATGAAGTCTTTGTCTACACCTGTGTCTTTAGCAGTTTTACGTGTTTTCTCTTCTAGCAGATTTAGTGTTTCTGTTTTAATATTTATATCTTTGATCCATTTTGATATTAGTTTAGCACATGGTAATAGACATGGGTCTAGTTTTTGTTTTTGGCATATGGAAAACCAGTTTTTCCAGCATCATTTATTAAAGAGGCTTTCTTTCTTCCAATGAGCATGTTTGGCCCCTTTGTCAAAGATAAATTAGCTATGTATGTTTGTAGTTACTTCTGCATCTTCTAATCTATCTGTGCATCTGTTTCTGTTGCCCATCCATGCTGGTTTTTTTTTTTTTTTTTTTTTTTTTCCTTTTTCTGAATTTAGGACAGGGTCAACAGTGTGTTCATGGTCTCACTACATAGATCGGACTTGTAGTGAGTCTCCTGTTTGCAGCCTCCCAAGTGCTGGGATCACAGGGGTGCACCACCATGCCCAGTCTCAATCACTGTCTCAGCATGCCCTGGGGTCAAGGCCACATGGTTCTTTTTGCCTACTTGGGTTCTGGATACATTTTTCCTGAATACAAGAATGAATGAAGCTTTAATTTAAATTATGAAAAGTCCAATTGTTGTTAAAAATGAAAGTGTGTACTATGCTTGCAAGCAACCCATCCACTTTTCCTGTTAGGGCTTCTGGTTGTAAGAGTCTATTGTATAGCATCTATTCTGAAACGTTTTAGAAAGATTTAAGGAAAGAAAAATTTTCTTTAAAGTATAACTCTGATTCATTTTTTCCTACATAGAAACTAATAGTTTCACAAATTAACTGCAACTGCACATGGGTGTGCACAATGCATGTACACATATATACAAACCAGCATACAGTGCACCTAAAATTGGACTTTTCATAATTTAAATTAAAGCTTCATTCATTCTTGTACTGAGGAAAAATGCATTCAGAACTCAAGTGTGCCAAAAGAACCAGCAATAAGTATTCAAAGTCCTAGGTTGAGTGAATTCTGTGGTCCGGCTTTGAGAGCTCATAACTCAGGAGCTGTTGGTAAGCCCATTGAAGTCTATCTCCTGCGCCAGGACTAGCTGCTTTGAGCTCTCAGTCTCACAGAGGCATGGAAACTGCAAGAAGCTGGCCCTAACCCTCAGATCCAATTAGCCTCTCTCCAATGTCTTGCACTATCACATTTTGCTATTTGAAACACTTTATTATTTTTGTCTTTGTAAGGATCTAAATACCATTAAAAGTACTTTTTATGCTTCTGAAAGCAGTGCGGGAATCATTGTATGTTTTTGAGTAGCACCCTGTCCACAATTTAGAACAATATTCTGTCTCTGGAGAGGAGAATGACTTTGAAGAAGAGATGTGACAGAAGACCAGTGAGGAGGTTGTGGTGGGTAAGAGGTTATGGTTGATCAGAGAAGGGGTATTTGTATGGGTTTGAGGAGATGCTGATAAATTTGAGACATATTAAGTAGAAAGAATTTAAAGAATCTTTATAAACTAGATGCTTAGAGAAAGGCTGGAGATTTTCTGTAGTTGCACCTAGATATCTTTTTTAGAAAAAGATCAGTTGATGTTGTTCCTCATGTAAAAACATATTGAGAAGGTCAACTGTGGATGCAAAGTCAGGAATAATGGTACAGTTGAGTCATAGTGGGAGACTAGAATACATTGTGTAGCAGGGCATTGGTTAAAAGTCAGTGCAAAAGAGAGAGAATTATTTCTTCAAAGGTCTATAGAGTCATTAATGGATTTTCAATGAAGAAGTAATATCAGTGGAGTTTTATGTCAGCAGGATCTGGGTGTCAGCCATGTAAAGTTGTTTGGAGAAATAAAACTACAGATACAAAAATTGATAGGAATTTTCAGAAGTAATTTAGGTAAGAAAAATACAAATGTT